GCAACCAAACCTTTCGGTATCCGACATGCGATCGGAGACTCGCCAGTCCCCTCACAAGCAACTTGTCCTCCTGAGGGGCTTGCGATCACACGGCCATCAGCCTTGCTCCGGCTGTCGATGCGCAAACAATCAAGGCAAGCCCAGTAGCTGTCCAGTTCTCATTTCGGTCAAGCCCGGGGCAGCGTCCCAGTACCCCTGCAGCTCTTTCTGGAATGGAATCTGGCACAGTTCAGTCTGCATGTATCGTCAGCGTGTCAGCTCAAGAGTGCCATGCAGTGATTGGATAGGTGGGGCAAGTTAGCAAAGATGGGGGAAACATTGGCAGAGTGAAAAAATAACAAGCCTGCTGCTTCTCAGGTGCCTCAATCAATAGCACTAGCGGTCACTAGCAGCCCTACAAGTAGCATTCAGATATTGATTTCGGCTGCCAAGTGGGCCCTGCCTCGTAAGCAACTGCTTCAGCAGTCGCAAGGACTCTCCGAGGGAGCCAACCAGTGGGCCTGATACACATGGCACTCAAGAGGCCAGCAGACCAATCATCCAAAGCACGCAAGGAACGCAAGGGGTGGCGCGACAAAAGTCAAGTGTTTTGAGATTGCGAGACGTTATGCATCTCAGGCACCGATGGAATAGAATGAGCAACGGACACAAGGCGTCGCTTGCGGAGAGTTGCATGAACTTTTGCAAGGGTAGCCATGCGCTCCAGCTACTTGAGGTGAGCACACATCGGAGCTATCGCTGATGCCAGCGCCATTCAGCCCTGAGGCTATACAAAGCCACGTGCCACAACAGGGTGAAGACATCAGAGTGATACAAAAAGCAGGCTGATTCATGCCTTGGACGGTCACTGGCAGAATAGGTCTGATCCCTCTGATCTCTCCACTTAGGAATGTTCCTTGAAGCAAGAAGCGGCCTCCTGGTGGCATCTTTCGGCCTTGGAGAGCTCATTTGGAGAGCTTCCCAGGCGAATCAAAGCTGCAACCTCTGAAGATCTCTGAGGCTTAGGCCGTGCGCCCAGCTGCTCTCAGACTTGGAGATCAGCACCGCCTAGTTGTCACGACTCGGTTCAGGGCTTCAAGAACTACCCTGAGTAAGAGACCCAGGCAAAGGCCATGGACTACACTTTGCCAGCCCACGTCTGAATCGTCCCTGCAGCATCCCTGCAATGACGGATTACATCGCTCCTACTGGCCACACCTAACTCGTCATTACAAAGGCCCCAGTCTCGGCAGGCCATTGTTGGGGGCTTGAGCTTCGAAGACGTCGTCGCGGGGCGCCTCCCCTGGCTCCACACTGAGACGCTGCTCGCCACAAGCCTCCCACAAGCAGAACTACACAATGCACATGAGCCCAGCTACCAAACAGCCAGAACGATTCCCACGACTGAGATAGCAAACTTGTCTGATAGATGTTTGTTCGGCCTCACAATCGCAGGCTGCCCAGCAGCCAAACTGGAAGCAGATCCAACACCTGATCTCCAAATCTGAGGTTGCTGGCCATGCACTATGGCTGCTCTAGGACTAAATTCCTGAAATCAACAAATGCCCCACACCAACTTCCAAAGGGTCCTCAGCACTTGATGATCCCGCATGGCACTTCTACGCAGCATTAAGAATGGAGGAACTACGTACTCAGCCCAGGGCCAGTAGCTCAGGCAAAATCTTCCTCCAGCGGCTCAGATGAGCGCATTCACTTCTTCGCTAACGCTTGCGAGATGGGGTCTCGAAGCGCTCTAGCTCCGGAAAAAACGTGCCTTCAGCCACGAAGTGCTCCCTCACAGGCATGACCATGCTCCTGCTCAGTTTTACTATCTGCAACAAGGCCTTAGGTGAAATGATCTATGTGGAACTAGCTTGGACGTGCAAGCCAAAGTCACACGAAATAGTCCGGAGCTATCCTTAGGTCAAGCGCCTTTGCAGCTTCTCCATTTTCTGGGCAATCTGCTCGGTGCTAATGTCGAAGTGCGTGCAGCCTGGCAAACCGCAGCTAGAGTTTCCCCACAAAGCGGCACAGCGGTTCAAACCGCATGTACAGAAGATAGCGGTTACAGTACCCAATAGAGCTTGGAGGCCTGCTCTGACAGCTGGCCAAACAGGATCGCCTGATGGAAGAGCGGCTCACGTTGCACGTTGCATATGCCACTCAAAGACTCTTGCATAAGCAGGTGTGAATGGTAAACCTATGTGATGGTGATCATGAAGCGTGTGCCTGGAGTTGCTGTACCAGGGATAAGCCAGGCGAAGTTCGATCCCAGCAACTCAGCAGCACATCTCCAACATGTGCCGTGCAGCTTTCATTTTTTAGCACGCAGCATCGGAATTTGTCAACACCAGAAACACGATAGCTGGTACGGTCTCTGCTGCACTTCGTTTACTAGACTATACGACCAATAACTCAGGCTAATGCCGCAGCAAAGTTTTCCTTGCGGCCCAAATCATAGGGGTACACCTTGGCATGTGAGACTGCTCGAGCAACGGCTCACTGCGATACATTTGACAAGCTCACTCTCCGCATGGGGGTATGTCAGCGCAATCTAATTCATTGGCTCCCGTTGTCGCCATAATGACATCATGGCTGGGGCATGATTCGAAATCCACTTGAACTGTGAGATACGGCGTTCACTGCCAAGAGTCGAATTTCCGCTCCCCGTTTCGCCGCCGGCGCATCTCTGCCTTCTCAATCACATACTCCTCAGCTTTATATGGTTTCAATTGCATGTCTCCATGCAAGGGTGTCTCACACACCTCTGCCAGCATGCAAGAGGATGTTCCGGATTGGCTAGCTTTGGCAGCATCGTTCAGCCAAGAGCCGGAGCACGTATAAAAAACACATTCTCATACAGCAACCGTGTCGACGTTAGACTATTTGGCACAGACGTTCAGAAGGCTGTGCGCGCTCCATCTGCGAGCAACTCAATTGCACCGAGACGTGACTTCGGCTTTGCCTTTTGGAGCAAACTTCAACTGTTTTCCTCTCTTGCTCTTTCTGCTGCTTGTTTTTCTCATCCCTTTGTTGCTGTTCCTTTGTCTTCTCTTCTTCTTCAAGGCTGACCAAACGTGAGGCCGCGACCTCAATCATGCTGACGTTGCCTATGACTGTGTGCTCCATCCTTGGGACAGGGTGTCGGCCCTTGCAGACCTGATTTGGTACCTTGCCCCTGCTACAAAAGATCTGGAGCTGGCAGGCGTGGGACATCTGCACGACTGAGAGCAGCACTCCCAAGCCAAGGTGCCCACCAAAAGCATGACCTGATGGGCTCCGCTGGTTTCAGGGTAACAGCCATGGGTGGCGATTGCACGGCTTGGGCCTAATCTGTTTCAGAACGAGACTTCTTCAGCAACTGAGCTCCTCTTGCAAGCCGAGATGCCACGAGGCAGCAGAACCAGCCCAAAAGGCCCAGCCTTGTGTGAAATCATGATCGGATTGATGTTGTCACTTCTTTCCATTTCCAACTGCTTAGAAAACAAGAACCGCCATGATGGACCATGATTCGTGAAGATGCAAAAAAGTAGGCAGACATGTTACGAAACACCAGCGTAGTTGGACCATGATTTGCTGAGCCAACGACAGTATCCGCAGGCGTATCAACACCCGAAGAAAGTCCATCGACTTGCGTGAACTTTGCCACGCCTCAGCTGGAAGGGGATGACCAGAGCTTTCGACTTTACCGTAGGGATGACATCCGGCTTGCATTGAATCAGGCTCATTATGGCCCCCAGCATGCCACCACGTTGTCTGAGCATGCGACGTAGACCAGCAACACGAAAAGCTCGGAGTGAACGACCAACTGCGGCTTCAGGCTCTAGCTATATAGTGCTCAAGGTACTCCTCAATAGTGAGAACAAACAACATGAGTCGCTACGATTCTTTCGGGTTTATGGCTGTTGGTAGCTGGGAAAAAGGCTTTCTGAAGTAATCCCAAGCCCTCCGCTGCGTGCAGCGTCGCGATGGGAACGAAGTGAACAAACTGTACAAAGGGCTTCAAGTTGATTTGACCTTCGAGATGGAGTTGAATCGTGAAGGCTAATCATTGAGGAGACAGTGTACAGGCCTGCATGAAGCTGCCAACGGCTTTCCACTTGCAGTCGGGTGATGTCGGGTGGGCAGGTGATCCATTTCTAGCATCATAAGACATGCAGGGCCATGAAAGAACAGTTTTGCATGCTGAGGCGTTGATCGTCACACAAGGTTCTGATCACGTTGACTCCTGAGCAGCTGGCCCACGCAGGTGTTGGTCCAGGGGCAGTGGTGATCCATACTGTCCAAAGCAAGTGTCTCTTTATGTAAGCATTAGGAATCTTAAGACAACTTGTTAGCGGCCGTGACGAATGACAGAGGTGCCCGGCAGCCTGAGCACACATCGGCCACAGGTGGAGCAATGATGCGCGCGCGGCCTCAGCTTGGACATACAGGGGACTCCGATGCCAATGGCAGATATTTTGGGATTTGCTTGCCAATCAAGCTCAAAGAGTTGTGAGAATGATGACAAACGTGCCGGTAGGTCGGCTTGTACCCCTTGCAGCTGTTGCACCACTGGAGCAAGTCAGCGACCTCACTGCCAAAGAGCAAGAACACATCACAAAATCGGACACGTACAAGCCGGCATGCTCCAAAGCGTTAACGCCTAGAACAGTAGTATGAATTGATGCTCCACGTCAGGCGTCTCGTTGCGCATCGCCTCTGTGAAGCAGCCACTGAGACACCCCACCGGCGGCGTCTCGACAGCTAGGGGAAGTTTGCCCACCTGCAGCGGCATGGTTGCTCCAAAAAACAAATCAAAGCAGAGAGCCAGCTTACTCCTTCAGCATCACGCAGCAAAAGCACGACATGGAATGATTCTGATTAGCTCAACTTTGTGGTTCGGTCGTTGTTTCATTGGTTATTTTAAACCCACACGTACCTGACCCTACAGCCGAACTGAAGAAATGGCCGAAGAGGAAACATTGTGCGGGGAATTGGCTTTAAACCGAGTCCCATTTCATATCCACTTCGTTATCTAATTAGCCAAGGAGCCAGGTCAACAGATGCTCGAAGTTCCGCCAGCTCCTAGTCGCCACAATCACATACACCAGGCCAGCGTAACAGTTGAACCCAATAAGTGGCACTCTTTCTAGGCTGCGGTGGCCTCGTGTGCGGAGCACATGCTTTGATTCTTGAGGAATTCGCCCAGTGCTACCATCGTCTGGGAAGGTATTCTTCCAAGACTTCTGCACGGGCAGCGAAAAAGCAAACTCAACACAGTACATAATCTTGCTCGGCGCCACCAGCCGCACTTTGCGAATCTTTGTCGCTTCTGGCACGAAACCCAGGAGGCGGTCTAGGCGCGTGCCTACAGCCTCTTCTGAGTAGTCGAAAGTGTAGCAGTGAACGCGAAACCTGCGCAAGCCGTCCTGGCCGCCAAGCAAATGGATGATCCGCCAATCATAACCGCCCTTTATCCCTGATACTCCTCCCTGCCCGCTCGCCGGGCTCGCCGGGCCTTCGAAGGGTGTTCAGCAACTCCCGGGTCAATGTAGTCTCGAAGAGGCTGGAGCTCTCCACAAAGAATCTCTAACCTTCGGAACAGTTTCGTACATGACAGTCATGCGCCGGACCACCCAGCATCTTCATACAAACACACCGTATGAGCAAAGCAAACCCTGCTGTGTTGTATACACAACAGAAACACCACCCTAAGACAGCCAAGCCACGCCATTTCTGGCAGATTGAATGACAAACGAGTAGTCTGCACCTGTCAGCGTGGAAGCTAAAATTCAGTTGAAATGTCAAGTTCGGGAAGGAAGCCCTTCCCATTCCCCAAAACAAGACTCAAGCACTTTGTGGCATGCGATGGCCCACAGGCCTCGGGCATGCTGAGGCCGAATTTCTGCAAGTTTCCACTGAGGACGCTATGGAGCACAAGCTTCGCATCCATCTGCAAGACCTCCACGTTCAATCGATTCCTGGGAATGAGACAGCATGGCTCACTTCTGCAGCGTAGGTCTACCCGGACCGGGCGGCGTGGCTCGGCTTCAAACAGCCCATGTCATCCCACGTCTCTCTCTCTGGGCAAACTTGCAGCTTTCCCGGCGCAGCTTTGCGCCCGGCAGGAAAAAGTCACACGAATATGCTCTGCAAATACTGGAGTGTTGTAGTCTTCAATGCCTAGCCCGTGGAACCCCTGGCCTGCGAGCGTTCTCCTTCGCAGCTGCCGCTGCTTCTGGATTCAGGTCATTGATCACCACGTGACAACCCTTCCTGAAGTGCAATGGTCGATGAAAACCTTTGAAAGGTCTACTGGAAATCAGACGCCATGCAACAGGAGCCCAAAGGAAACAGAAATAGAGCAGAAAGAGGTAGCAAGCCTTGCACAAAGAAGGGCTAAAGCCCCAACACCACCAGCCAAGTCGATGAAGGCCTCCCAAGTTACAGTCATTTTTGCTTTTCAAAGGACGAATTCTCAACGCTAATCTTGCCTGCCTCGCTGTCTCCACACTCCGCAGCTACGAGCCCGCGCTCACTCGCCAAGCGCGAGTTCCAGTAGACCTAACAAGCCAGCCAAAGCGAGACATACCTGTGCATTCCCAGCCAAGCCCAGTGATAACGGTTTGAACTTGCATCTCTCACGAAAAGCATACCGATTTACATTTGCTATCCAGGACAAGGACTAAGAGTTGCTTAAGCTGGACGCAGTGCTCAAGACGCTTTTGTTATATCACCAGACAGTCTGGCCGAGAAGCGGCTTACATTAGAACTTTGAATTGCAGTCAGTGAGTCAGTCAGTCGTACTCCGGGAACATATCGCCCAAAAGCAGGAGCTGTTTCACAAGCATATTGAAGTGGATCGAAGTACCAGCCTTCCGGAAGTCGAACTGGAGCTTGAGGCCGAATTCTTTCAGCTCGACTACAGTGTCTTCTTCCCCGGCGATCACCTCTATAGCTGGATTGGTCAGACACTTCAGGCCCACCAGCACAAACGTCAAGATCGTACTTTTCCTCTGCATTACGAAGCTGCCCTCGAAACTACGTAAGCTCCTTGTTGAATGAACCTTGGCAACACTACATGCAGTACTGTACTGAGCCTCCATGTCAAAAGTCCGGTATTCGTCTTGGACAAACCCACGTTTCGCAACGGCTGTCCGCACACTCTTGCACTTGTCCAGCAGCACCTGAGGAAATTGGGCCTATGCTTCTGCCAGCCTCAGAGAGCTTACCTGTCCTTGCTGCAGAAATCACAAGGGAGCAATCCCAGACGAAGATGCAGAATTCCAACTTGACTCAAACTCAATGAAATCAGCTAGCGTTGGCCTGGCCGATGAGATGGCGATGCGGCCAGTGCTCTGGCAGGAGGTTGAAATGAGCAACGTGGCCAACAATCTCATGGCCCATGGGCACTGCCACATCCGCAGGAAGCAAGCGGCTCAAGACTTCCTTGTAATTGAAATTCTCGTAGCCCCAATGTAGCTGGTATGCGGTGAAAGATCCATTTAAGGATTGGACCGCCTCGTGGACCTCCGGCGGAAGGGTCCCGGGCGTCATGTTGGGGGCCAGCAGCAACAGACTAAAGCCGCGCTCACAGGCGCCGTGCTTTTCCGTGACAACGTTGTTGAGACCCTGGTCCCGACGCACAGCAAGGCAAACTGGAAGAACACCTTCCAACTGCCGAAGGCGATACGCGCCATCGCTGGGAAGCTTTACGGCGCAGAGTGTCTGGATCTGGTCGAAGGCAGCCTTGTCCACCGCCCGGCACGCTCTCACAGAACGAACCTGTTGAGGAAGATGGCTTCGGCCAGGAAGTGCCCAAAGTGAGGCACCCGTCGCCCAGAGGATGCTGCAGAGGCTTGCAAACCGAGCTCCTGCTCAGGTGCTGATTGAGAGCCCGATACATAACAGAACCTATACAGCTCTGACATGGATGCTGTGTCTCCTCTGGCAGCAACAGAGCCCGCTGAGCAAACTCTGTGCCCATGGCTTCGCATGATACAAAGAATCTACATGAGCGTCGGCTTTTATCTGTTCCTTGCGCCTTACGCGGCATTCTTAATCCATGGTCCCTCATCTCGTTTGCCTTACATTCAATCTTGTATTGTACCTTGACAAGAACACCTGATCTCGTTCGCCATGTCGGAGTATATACACTGGGATCTTGCAAAGGAAACGGCCTATCTCGTTCAATCTGCGGCCCCTATCCAGTTTCGGGAGGAACGCTGAACCCATATGCAAAAGTACCAACGCACCTAGCCTTATACTCTCTTATGTGGATAAATGCGGCTGCTCACATGAGTGCGAAGTCAAAGTAGCCTGCTGAAGATTGCAAGCTGCAGAAACCTTTTTATCTCGTGAGCTTGGCAATGGCGCACTTCAGTCTCCAAAGCTTGGAACTGATTATGCCTGCTGCTGTGGAACCGACATCTGCGGACTCTCCCAACCAATCTTTCCAGGATATCATTCAGTCGTTGAAACGGCAACGCAGGCCTGAAGGCTTGGAGGCACTCTGCCCGGTCCCAGTGTTTGACCTCTCTAGCCTGAAGCAAGCCTTTTCTAAACCCCCTCTGAGCCAAGACGAAGTGGAGACCCTCGTTATTGTCAGCAAGGCGATTTCTGCCTGGGGCCTGAGTTTGTCACCTCTTAAATCCTGGGTCGGAGGCTGGCTCCTCATCTGTGGGGCACCACCGGAACGGCACAAAGCCTCAAACAGCAGGGACGTGCGGCTGCTTGTCATCCTGTCTCCTGCTCTGGCAATTGCCCTCAACGCAATACGGGCTTTTCATCTACAACCTGTTGATTTGCAAAAAAGACTCCAGGAGCAAGAGTGGACATCTTTTGCCAAGCGAAACTAGTGGCTAATGAGCTGTGCTGGGCATGCAGGCGTCGCTAGCACAGGAGGCATGTCTCCTAGAGTGCGCCCTCTACAGCTGTGCACCTGGGCCATGAAGTACTGCGGAAAGATAACTGATCTGGCAAAGGCAAGCACTGGCTCCATCCACTTTGCGTACTGAACAGACTTTAGACCATGATGAAAGCAGTTTAAAGCGAGAAGGCGGCACCAGCAAGCAAACCACCTCAACACCTTGGCCGCTGTAGCTGTGAACTTGGACTCAGCGCTAGTATTGCACTCAGTGACTTTAGTCCGGGGAGTCTCTTCAAAGTGTTTCGGCGGCGCGTAAGAGTTTCAGCCCACTGTTTGGAGACTCTGTTTCATGCGTTGTGGCTTGGGGCCCTAACCGAATCCAGGCCATCCCCTTTCAATCCATCCCCAAAGCCCTCTGCGTCGGGTATGCCTACTCTCTCTGCTGGATACTGCTAAACTGCTACTCTCAGATGAGCCAATGTCTAAACTCCTAGCATCCCCCTTAATAAACCTTATAGTGATCCCCTATATAACCCCCTACATAACCCCCTTTAAGGAGTTTAGATCATGGCTCAGATGCATTCTTGGCACCCTCCTCTACGCCCTGGGCGCCCAACAGAAAAGCACCAGCTCCATTTGGCCGTGGCCCCAGAAGCCGATCTTAGGCGCATCTTCTCTCACAGGGGTTTTTCGGTAGGTACCCATTTCGGTGTTATTTAAGTTCGATTGGGTTTACATTGGGATAATGGAAAATAAATATTTAGAGAAATGTGATCGCGCTCTTACGATGAGAAGAGCAGAAACATTCGAAGGCCCATCACACGCAATTTGCAAGAATGCTTCAGCTTGCTGGGGAGCTGGCAGGATGTATCCAGCCTCAGTCTGAGTCTGCACCAACAATGGAAATACGGCCAAGCAACAGCTTTTGGCGTCGGAAGCTGCGGAGACCAATCAATTGAAACAAACATGTTCATCTACATGACCGGCATTAGGAGGAAACATGTGCCAGCAGCTGAATGCCAAAACCTACACAAAGAATGCCTTCAGGTACTGAAGCTCAGGCCTGGGCCATGATAAATTGCGCTGGCTGTCAGGAAAATGACCAAGCCAATGGTAAGGAAGGGCGCCAGGCCGGCCAAACGACTGAAGCAGGGTATGAGTTTCATTTCCTAGCCTTGCAGTTGTAGCAGCCATCAGTACAAGCCCGCAAGTACAGTACCAGTAGCTGTGGCAGCAGCAGAAGTAGCACTAGCGGCAGTACGACGTAGTAGTAGCAGTAGAAGTCAGTAGTAGTCATCGTGGTCGGATCAGTGCATTTATGCCGGATATGGTCAAGTGATGGCAGCAGCGCTTGCACTCTGCAACCCCCTGGGCTGTAAAATTCCATGATCGCCTCTGACCTATGCAAACAACGTTGCTTGATAGATTTTTTGCCCTCAACAATCTTATTCACCCAAGGCATCATCATCCTAAAGATGGCACGCGCTTTTTCTGCCGGCGTGCCAGTTCCCTGTGAAGATTCATGGGTCCCAGAGAGGTCCCTGAGCTGCGTCGCGTAACAATTGCAGTATGAGCGTCGTATCCCTGTAGCTGTCAGAGTCCTCGAGCTAACACAAGTGTCACATTGCCTTTGCAAGCACCGCTTGTGTCTGGGGCATGTGTTTGAAGAAGAACGAAGTCTCAGCACATTAACTCGAAGAAGAGCGCGAAACCGAATGACTACGGGCAGTTACTGTACCATAAGAAAACATCATAGACCAGAACCACAATGCCACGCGAGGCCCATCCCCCCCAATATTCCAAACTCCCGATATTTCTTAATCGCGGTCGGGGGATTTATATTAGGCGGAATAAATAAAATCAGCACGGACCTGTGCAAATACCAAGAAAAAGAAACAACAAAACGAATGGACAATGACTGAAACACTCACTTGCGCAGCAAACCAACGAGAACGTTACCTGACAGCGCCCCCACAAGGTGAAACGAGCAACACCCAAAACACGGCCAGCCACAACATCTCAAACGACAATCTAGAATCTAACATTCTTCTCCTCCTGCAGCTGCTCCAAGTCCTGCAGAGCGCTGTCGAAGGCAGCCCGCGCCTTCTTCCGGGCCAGAATTGGATCCTTCCTCGAAAGACAAGGACATCCCCAACTAACGCTTGCTAAGCAGGAAACTGGTTTCCACCAGTCCCTGGCGGACCTGTCAGCACACATGCAACAAGCTGGCAGCTGTTGGACCTTTGTCACTGTGCCCGCAATTGTGGCAGGAGCATTCAAGAATGTCATTTTGTGGTATTGGACATGTTAAATGCATGTGAGAACTGACTGAGTTACAGGACGGAAGAAACACGCATGAAACACATTAAGTTGCGCAATTGCGGTAAAACTGTCATCGGACTGCTCCAGGATGATGGTCGAGGGTCATTTGCTCGTGCAAGAAAACAGACAGGTTCAGCGCCACGCTCAGCCGAAGCGGATGTGTGACAGGCAGTTTCATCGCTAGCCACTCTGCTTCACCATAGCCTTGCCGAGCCCTTTCACAAGCATAATCACTGGTGGCCCCGTGCCGGAAATGCGCCAAATAACGGTAATGGTCGGATTTCATTTTCAAATAGAATACCAATGATTCCAAGTCAACGGCGGCAGGAATCAGCAAGCTTTCAAGGAGACACAAGGATGTTGCAAGGATGGTTTCGAGCTCATCAACCACTTGCTTGCAATACTCCTCAGCATAATGGGCCGAAGTGCGTGAGTTTGCCCGCGTTTCGTCTTTTGCGAGCCTTTGTGCCACCTGTAAAGCAAATCGGCGCCTGCCGATGCTGTTCTTGAAGGCCACTGATAAAAGATTCCGTTCGTCCTGCACAAGCTGCGGCCCATCTAGAACAACAGCCTGCATGTGTCTCATCATATCATCAAATCGGTCAGCGTTCTCTGCAAGAGCAGCCAGAAATAGATTCTTTTGGCGGAGCTTCATGATGAGCCTGCATCAGTGTGCGGACATTTTTCTTGTCACATTGCTGCCGTCCCGCATGAAGCGAAAACGCCAACGAAACTGGGGCTCGAGCCAAACGACAAGACTGCAAATGTATTTGTTGGACTTTACTCTTTTGCCTTTTGCCTGTGCTATCCAATAGAATTCAGTCAATAGGGTGCCCCGTGGCGCAGGCAGGGAAAAGCCTCAATGAGGCCCAGCAGCCGTTGAAGTCGGTGCGGTGGTCCTCCAACAACATTGGATGCGGCACGTTGCAGGTGGCATCACAAGCTACCTCGCCACACGCATGAACAAAAAGCAGTTGGCTTCTCGCAGTGCGGCCAGGGCGCATGACCAGAGTAGCATCCAGGCTCAGCCATTCACATGCGCTATTGCATCATGCGCGCGTGCTGTTGCTAGCGCGCTTTTCAAGAATTGCATTGCAGATGTTGCTTTCGGATTTCTGTCTTGATTCGCCTTGGGCGGCATGTTGCACATAAAAAATGTTCGAAACGTGGGATGGTTGGTTACTGGGATGATTTTTGGGATGCATTCCCTACAGAAGTATCCATCAATGTTGCGCATTCTACATGATGATGGAACAGCTGGTCAGGCACGCAGGCAACCTGCAAATGTCCTTCATGGTGCGCGGAAACATTTCATGACGTAAACGTTACTTCCTTGTAGTCTTGCACCTACGTTGGACACTTTGTTGATACAATTGTTTTCCAGAACAAGCCATGGCCCGCAAAATGTCCAGCGCACGGGCGTGCGACTAATCGCTTCCCTTAATTTTCGACCCCTCTCAATATAATTTGCGGGTCCCGCGCGTTCCCCACAATTCCAAACTCTGAAATCCGCCCCCTAAGACCACTTTTGACGGGCCAAGAATTCCGGCTCGGATTCTTTGAATGAAGGGGCTCCCCACGACTTTTTCCGGATTAAGGGGCCTCGTTAATTTCCTGCTGTTTTGAATGATTTTTATAAAGGAATTTATATAAAAATCTGAATGCGATTTTGATTGGGTTACTTGCGCACTACAATTGATACAGGTTTACTTGCACTTTCATTCAATTTTAAGCAAGCTCCAGTTAATTGGTTGAAATGGGCTTTTATTAATCGCGTTGAATGTATGCCTCGTTTCAATTTCACGGAAATTTCAATGGTTTTTTACTTGATTCTGTATTTTTTTGCGTTTATCCGGTTGTAATAGATCTCATGAGGTTTTGCTTCGATTTACGTTGTTCGATTTTCTGAACTTCTGTCCAGTCCTATTGTACACCACCCGCTAGTTCAGGAGCTCGGGCGCTTCCCCTCCGACGCTACACTCCCCGGCAAGAGGGAGCTCCAAGAGTGAGGCGGCGAAAGCGCTGCACCCCGCGACTGTCAGAAGGCCGGACCACCGAGCAACATGCGGACCGTGCAGCGGACGGCATGGCTGAGGGGGCCGCAAATGCACGGCGGCGCGCAAGCAAGCGTAGCCACGTGGCTGCTTCGGTACTGAACCGGCCTCCGATTTCGACACCAACAACCACCAAGCGGCAGTGACCGGCGCGCTCAAGCTCGGGGTAGGTTTGGCGTCGCTTGCGTCGGGCCTGGATGGGCGGCAGCCCCAAGCTGCGCCTCGCCTGCCAGCGTGATTGGGCTGACGATGGTGGCTTGGGAACCGTGCCAGAGCGGGAGCCCATTGGCGACAACTTCGATGCGGCCATCGTCTGAGACCAGCACATCGATGTTCATGTCCGCCAGACACACATTGCGTGCCACCCGAGCGCCGGCTTCCTGGCAGACGCGCGCGAATGCCCGCTCGAGGGGCAGAGCCGGGGAAGCAAGCACGCCCGCGTTTGCGCACGCAGCCCGGTGGTCTCCAAGCGGGTCGAGGCGACCCCGACAAGCGCAGGCTAAGACACGGGACGAGTTCCAGCTGGGGCAACGACCGCCTGCAGCGCCGAATAAACAATTGTTTTGCGACTCAGACCTGATTTGGGGGTTAGGGTGTATAACTCAAGGGACGGGAGGGTTGTGATTCTCTGGCGCACCGTTAAGAAACCGACATGGAAATGCCATTGGATGCAAACACATTAATTATCTAAACTCTATCCAAGTTCTCAATACTCTGGTAACCCTGGCCCTAAGATATCTATCTATATTTGGGTAACTTCATTCAAATTCCTCAACAGCAACCCAAGTCGAACTATTCGGCGAAAGGGGTTAAGGGTTTTTACAACCCTGTCGACTCTTTCCTCGCTTGAAAAAACACAAATTCTAGTTGCTGTCCATAAAAACATTTTTCTGTCAAAAATGTGCGCTCGCAATGCTTCTCGCTGACCGGTGGTCGGCAACAAGCGCGTTTGGGCGGGAAAAAGCGCGTTTTGGCCGGCAACAAGCGTCGTCGCTGCCATGTGATCGCCGCTGCTTTGTGCAATTTTCTGAAAAAGCGATCGAGAACGAAAATTTTGGTCGCCGGACAGCGAAAAACTGTTTCTCACCAAAAAGCAGCAGTTTTAGGCGTTTCGGAGGGTCTAGGTTCGCGTCTAGCAGCTTGCTCAGGGGTTAAGGGTTTACACGTTAGGGTTTGGGGAGTTGATACTTGGGCAGTTGATACTTTACACTCTTTACATCCGTGGATTATCCCTTAACCCTAAACCTCAAGCCTTAAGCTAAACCCCAAATCCTAAACCCTACGCCCTAAACACTGAACCCCCAAACTCCAAACCCTAAACCCTAGTTGTACATCTATGTCTGGGGGGAAGGTACAAATAGGGTCTACCTGCACCGCCCAAATACCCATAATAGCCCGTAGCCCCAACATAACGATTTTTTGGCCAAACCTTTTTCCCGCTGGCAACAAAAATCGTTATCTTGGGGGCTAGGGGCTACTATTATGGGTATTTCGGCGGTGCAGGTAGACCCTGCTATCGATTTAGGGTATAGTGTATACGGGCTATTAGTATGCAAATTTGGGAGGTCCAAGCCGAATGCTGAATGCGGGGCGAGGTTCCAGAGCTCATAAGGCCACAATTCGTGGGTGGAGTCCGGGGGCGCAAGGATTGGAGATATGAGTTTAGACTTTGGGCGTAGGGATCAGGGATGCGGGCTTATTGTCCAGGGTTTAGGGGGAAAGGTTTCAAAGGTTAGGGTGTAAGCGCCTGGGATTGGGGGCGCAGGGCCTGGCTTTAGGTCAAGGTGAAGCCAAGTCTTACAGCTTAAGGATTTGGGGCCCTCGCTGCACTCCGAGTTGGCCGCACGGTCGCGCTGCGCAAGTCCGGGCGTGGCGTGCGATAGGGCACCAGAGGCTGCGGCACGCATGCTGCATGCACTGCAGGGACCGCTTGCTGAGTGGATGGCAGCGCCGTGCTGCCCACGCCTGTGACGAGCGCGCGTTTGAGACGCTTTTTTCGAGCCTTTCACCTGCATCTCGAGCGCTGCTGCTGTCACAGGCCGGGCCGCATTCCTCGCGTGCCCTCACGGTTCTACCCACACATGAGGACGTCACACACCCCAGTGCGCACTTCCGTGTTCTCCTCCTTCGCCGCCTGCCGCTCCCACTTGCACCGTGGGCCTGCACTTGCCGCCGGCCGCTTGATGTGCTTGGTGATCACCGAGCGGCGTGTGCCACCGCCGGCATCCTTGCCTCGCGCGCCATCCCCTTTGAGCGCACACTCGCCATGGTGTGCCGCGAGGCTGGCGCACGTGTGCCAGGAATGTGCGCCTGGCTGATATGAACTTGGATGTGCCCGTGCAGGACGCCCGGCGCATCGAGGTTGTCTGCAACGGGCTGCCCCCGTGGCACGGACTCACTCCCTGGCGCCTGTGATGCCGCTCGGAAATGCCGCTCGCACGCCTGAGCCCAAGTTCAATTTCCGCCGCAGAGCATTTTTCATGTTGAGTGAAGAAAGTGGCCCTGCCAGTGTTCCCCCAGCCCCTGTCAACAAAGGTGAGCCCGAAGAGTCGCTAGGCCAGCCGCTCCCAAAGAAGGATCTTGACAAAATGTTCCAGAAGGTGTCTGAATCCTAGGCTGCAGGCGATATGGGTTATTGATATGATATAACGCAATATAGTGACTTAAGGAACAACAGGAACCAATTTCGCGGGCAACTGCCGTTTAGGAATCGGTGTTCCAAATCGATGCTACTCCGTGTTCCAAAGTGAGGCGAATCGGTGTTCCAAAATGAGCCGCTACCTGTTGTTTTAATGTTTAGGTAGGTTCGGCTCCAGGCAAAGCTGGGTGAAACTGGGCAGCGTCTTGAGCAGGCACGCTGCGCAAAGTCAGGGTCCGCACGGCGTTGTTTTTTTTCCACCCACCCCGCCTTTTTTTCCGCCTGCGGTATCCATGTGGGTCCCTTTGCACGGCGCCCCAGCTTCAGCCAGCACGCATTTGAAGGCGGCTGCTGGCGGGGGTCGCCTGCCAACGTGCGTCGGCAAGGAGTTCGTGCAGGGCGGGTTCGGGCCCGCCAGCACTACACTCTCCGCCGGGGGGCAACTCAAGTAGGGATGCTGGGGAGCTGCATCATAAACAAT